TCTTACAGATTGTTGAACAGCTGTTAAAACTATTTTGGCACTGCCAACCTCTGTTAGCTCTCATTTCTGTGCACACTCTCTACTTCTGTAACTATAAATTTTAAGTTATGGGGTTTGGTTTTTGTTTGTTTTATGATTTTTTTTTTTAATTGGTACAAACTATGAACTGAAGGCTAGGCTGTCAAAATGATGCATATAGTTAGTGCTGTCCTAATTCCACATGAGATAGCTGATGCAGCTACTGTGTATATAGGATTCTCTTGTCCTAAGCAAAAACATGCGTCTTACTAGTTTCTTTGAAACATACCATCTTATCTATAACTTGACAGACAAGTGAAGATGCTAAAACTCAACAACAGCAGCTCCTGTTGTACTTCAGGAAGCCATTACATGCATAAAACGTGTCTCCTTGTTGTGTGCTTTTGTTTTGTGTGTGCATTAAACTGTACCAGTAAGCTTAGTAAAAGATGTCACTTTTTACTTCAGATCTTGCCTTGCTTTTATCTCTCTAATTACTTTCAGGTGTATGAGAACTGTTAGGGCAAGGATGAGTTAGTGCGCTTATCTGACATTTACTTCTTAAAAACTTGCTAAAAGCTGACAGAACAGAATGCGGCTACAGCTTTTTTGGTACTTCTTGGTACTTGCTACTATAGCTCCTTATTACTCTTTTTGAGGTTTTCTGTATTCAGGTAACTTTACATGCTATTAGAAAAGGTGTGCTCTTTAATTTTGGTGTTTGAAAAAACTTTGATTTTATTTGTGTGTCTATTTAAAAGGTGAATTTCCTTTTCCTTCTGATTCATTGATCATTGTTTTCTGTGTTAAAAATTGTCTTCAAAGTATTGCAGTATTTCCCCGCTGCCCATTTGAAGCACCCTTCTGCATCCAAGGAATGATTTTTGTCTGCTTATTGTAAAACATCCAGAGGCACATTTATAATTCACCTGGGCCTTCAAGGGATCTTGTTTTTTGACTTGAAATGAGGACATAGCAGAGTACCAGATTGTTGTTTCTGTCACAGTAGTTAGCGCCTGCCACATGAAAAGCTGTTGTGCACAATGCTCAATTGACCGGCAGTGAGAAGTGGTCTCTCACAGCTTGTGAGTTGGATTTAAACGTCTACTTGGCATTTGGGAAGAACTTCTCTGAGTTCTGATAGTTGCTGATAGTTGCAGGGTTGCTGAAAGTGCTGACAGTTGCAGGGTGAAGGTTTCTGCTTGACATCCTGGGATGGCTGTTTTTGGCCTGTTACATAGTGGAGCACAGCTTCTATTTCTCCAAATTGTGGTGGTCTACTGCTTCAGCAGAGGTAGATGGAGATACCCGCAGTGTGCCTGCCTTTGAGTTGCTGAGCTGAATGAAAGAGACATTTGGCAAGTAAGTTATACTTACCCTTTGTTCTGGGTTTTCCTGAATCGCTCTCATCTTGGACTACTTGTGAGTTTGAAGCATGTGCCATGTGTTGCCCAAATACCTTGTTAGGTGTGTGGTTTCCCTGGAACAGACTTTCCTAGTATCCCAGGGATCACAGTGCTCACTTGCCTGGGTGTTGCTTTTCAGTTAAGATGGATAAACTACTGAAATCACTGAGCTACTCAAGAAGTTATAGTGTCTCAGGGCACCTAAATGAGATAGGTCTTGCTACTTCTTCATCCTCTGCTTTTGTCTGTGGTCAATTTTTGTCTCTTGCTCATGCTGTAGTTCTCATCAGATCCTTCAGTGAACTGCTTGAAGTAGCTGATGAAACGCAAACTTACCCAGCTCTTCACATGGGGTTAGTTTTGTTTGTTTTGTCTTGTCAGGTAGTTGAATTCATTCTAATGGCAATAAATAAATGATACTGAGTGCCAGAGCTACAAAAAGCAAGCACCACACCAAGTATATGGCTGGAGGGAGGAATGGCAAGGGAAGATTTCCTCCTTTGGTGGATCTTGCGTCTTGCAGAGCAGCAGCCCGAGGCTGCAGGTGCAGTTTGCTTTTGTACACCTTCAGCCAGCAGCTTCCTTACGATTCTTCAGGGATTGACAGGGTTCAGTCCAACCTTAAAGTTTTCTACTAGTTGTGTTAAGGTGCCCTTCAAAGCACAGCCCAGAATTGTTCTTCTAGAGAGGGACTGATGGAGTTGGGTTTCCAGAGAAACTATGTCCTGTGCCGCAGTCTCTAGTCAGTGTCTCTTGTCCTTAGATTGCTGGAGTCAGTTATGTTCTTTCACTTGTGCAGCTGACCAGTTCTACCCAAAATTCATGGAAATCAATGGAAGATCTTAGTTTTTTTTTATTTGAGCGAGAAAGATGTGCACTGGTATTTTTTTAAAAAAAATTACATTGTCTCTGTGTTTGTGTTTAAAACTTACAGCCTCCTGTGGTATTCTTTCTTCAAACACCTCCTTCTTTAATCATATAGGCCAAGCACTTCTTGGAATCTTTCCCATAACGTAAGAGACTTCAAAGAGCTTGATTTCTGAGTGTAGCTGTGAGTGTAAAGGCCATCCTTGGGACAGGTCAGAGGACCTGTACCCTGTTGTTGATATCAGCCTGTAGTGCTGAAGAAGGTATGCAAAACTTTGAGTACAGGGTAGTTCTTTTGCAGGTTTATTTTTACAGCTGTTGGCTTTGGTCTGAGGTAGAGTTGCTGGGACTGTTGCGTAGAAGTTCACGATAGCTCTCTTCTCAATTTGTCAGATGCTTTTCTGAATACCTTTGGGATTCAGTTAGTGTGTCTGTAAACTTTTTTTACAATATTTATTGTTATTTGAAGAAAGTGTTTCCTGACTGAGGGGGAAATTAGGGTATGTATTTATTTATTTACTTTAATGCTGCTGTCTTTTCAGAATGAAGTGCCCACAGGTCTTATTTTATGGGAAATAGTGAGTGAGCATGGTTTGACTTTGACGTAAGGTCTGTAAAAATCTTAAGATATAATTTTTAGAAAGTGTTTCATTTATATATAGTGTAGTATGTTTCACTTGAGTTTCTTGCCTCAACTTTCAGCTCTGCTGTTTTATATGCCTTATGATATAAAATAAGAGTCTTAATAAGTGAACTCAGGGAATCATTAGGTTACTGAGAAGAGCAGACCTTCATTCACACTAGGAGAAGAGTTTCTTTGCCTCTCTTAGCCTAGGGAATTGCCTGCTACTAGCCATGACTTGACTATAGCAAGGCTAAAAAAAGGCTTCATTTGTAGATTATTATTTCTTTAATACCAGAAGGAGTGGTTGCATTGGTTTCTTTAATCTCCTGTCCATCAGTAAACATTAAATTAATTGGGTTGTGCTTTTATTGACCTAGGTTTCCTTACCCGAAGATTTCTGGTAGTAATTGGAATGAAGGCACAGAGGATGGAGAATTACTTGCTTTTTGTGACAGCTTATTCCATTAGTCATTCTTTCTGTTTAATAATAAAAAGGGAAAAAAAAGGCATCTGTATTGAGGATTTTCCTACTTACCGAATCAAGTATATAGAGTATATAAATTCCATTCTTACAGAAGGAGATGGGATACCTTGTAAATTACAGGGCTGTCTGATGGATAAGCAGGTAAATTAAGTGTTAGTAAAATACTTGGTGACTAAATATTCAAATCTTTTTGTCCAGGGAGATTGATTCGTGTGTGTGTGTGTTTTAGCCTCTTTGTCCTTTCATGGCATTAGGTAGCATAGGTTGTGATTTAGCTTTCATGTGTCTGTTTTCCTGTGATTGCAAATTTAGTGTATATGCACTCCCTCTAGTGGTTTTCAAATAGTAAACGAAATAGAAAAAAATCAAAGGGAGAGCAGGGGCTAGTGGAGGGTGTCCCTGTCCATGGCAGGGGGGTTGGAACTTGATGATCTTTAAGGTCCTTTCCAACCCAAACCATTCTGTGATTCTGTGATTCTATATTTTCAGCTTTTCTCCCTCTGCTCCGTTCTTTTTTTTTCCCCCCTCAATGCGTGCAGATTTTGGATAGTACTGTCTGCTTGCAGAAAGAGGTGTTGTAAGAAATGATTTGACATTGTTTCCTTTCTGACAGTGTTCAGTTCAGATAGAAGAACACTTAGAATCTATCTGTCATAGATTTGTTGGCAGTTTTTGTTTGTTTTTAACTTAGGTGTGATGCCATGCTAATTCATGCCCTGTGCTTCATGTATTCTCCATTTTATTCATTTCAAGTGACAGTGTTGGGTGCCTAAATAAGAGAATTATTGTGTTCTTTCTCCCCTCCACCCTTGGAGTGTTTAGTAGTAGTATGTGACAGTATCCATTGACTGCAATAGTTAATTTTCATGAAGCAGACAGGGCTTTAGGAGATTAAACTAAAATATATGAACTATGGATTTCCAGAAAGGGGTGACAGTTCATGGTTAAGAACCAGCTGTAATAGTTACCCAGCATGAAGTGCCGATTAATTATACTTTTAATATGTAGTTAATTCTGCCTTTTATAACTAGCATTCAGGATGGCAAAGGGATAGACTTGTTTTGTCAATTGTGTGCATGCCAGATGGAGCCTTAATATGTGTCAGCAGATAAATGGGCCATTATTAAGATTAGATGCATAATGATCATTTCAGTCTTGTTTATTTAGGTCATTGACAGCAGTAGAAGATGATCTCTTATAAGTAAAAATACTTGGATCTCAAAATTTTTTCTTTAACTGCTATCAAAATAAATGTGAAAGGTTTGGTGTCTAGTTTTAAATTAACACATTAAGTTAACTTGTAGTTTACTTACATGAGAACTGAAAAAAAAAATTCACAAACACACAAAAAAATTCTACCAGTGGCTTGATTTGTTGCAGTGAAGCTGATAGCTGTGTAAGCAGACGAATTTGTTCATTTGGAACTAATGAAATTAATATTTTATCTAGTATTACTGTGCAAGTCTCATAGAAATTTACTTGTTTAGTAGACAATACAATGTTCAGTTATATATGTATTCTTAAAACAACATCTGCTACAACTTTAGACTACTTGCAGTAGTGAAAGACTTTGGTAATAAATGTCTGTGATTTATTTCAGGTTGCAGTGTAAGATTTTGGAAGTCATAGCTCCAGCCCATCACAATGGAATGGAGAATGGCCATGCCAGCAGCACTGACGGAGACACAATTGTCATCAGCGACAGTGACGAGTCAGAAACACACAACAGCTCTGCACAAAATGGGTAAACGATACTTTCACAGTATAAAGCATTTGGGCTGGGTGGAAAAGAGACTAAAGCAGACATGTCAGGGGCTGACCAAAACAAATTACTTGATCTTTATGGATTGTGAGTGTTCAGCCAGCTGCAGGTGACAAGCTGAATATTCACAGGTGTCAGTTATGCTATGTATAATCCCCCAAGAGAACTGTGTGTTATGAGAAACGGAGTACCTACAGAATAATCACTGTTAATTGGTTTGGAATGACAGTGCTTCTGTTGAGAGAGGGTGGAAGAGACATGTATGCCCATCACTAGTCCTCTCTGTGCTGCAGAACCTGTGCTACTATAGCTTGGAAAATGCAGTAATGTTTTGTATTTCTACAGTTTATCACTACTTAGCGTGATGTAATACCTCACTTTCATCAGTGGGCTCGGAGTTGAGATTGCCTTATAATAAGAGGATATGGTCTTACTGGAACTCTCTGAAAAGTCTTTTGAGAGACTTCATGTGTTTGTTTTGAAAATATAAAAATGTCCAGTCTTCTTCATTGTGCATGTATCCATATAAATATTTATCACTGGATTTCATGGATTCAATTATGATTTTAGGTGCAGTGAAACATTCTGTGTCTTGTCTTAAGGAACTGTCTTTAGGCTGGAGTAGCTTAGTAACATTGAATGAAAGACCTTCTTGGCTATAACTGTGGTGTTTAATTTGGAGTATCTATCCCTTTACTGACCAGTTATTGAGCTTATATATGCAGCTTATCCTAGCAGTATAATGAGAAGAAAGATTTCTGTGCTTCACAAGAACAACGTTGATGAAAGAAGAGGGTTTGAAGTGGGCCCCAGTCTTGTATCTAGGAACATAAAGGTTTTACATGAACTGTCATTGACTGAAATGTCATGTGGATGCAGGAGTTACTCTCATTGATTGCTGCATGAGGACTTCCATATCCTGACATGCCTTGAATAACTAGGGTGGAGCTCCTCACTTGGCTAAGAAAATAACAGGGAATAAATAGTTTTTAAAATTCTCTGCTGTCTCTTGAAAGCAGCGTCCAAGTTGTTCATGAAGATGTTCTACATCTTTGAGAAAATAAATGCACTTTCGGTATTCCACAAGGCATATGGCATTTGAAAGGAGGTTATTCTTGGAATAATGCAAGTGCACACAGAGCTGACAGTGGGATTGATCCCTTTATATTGCTGTCACTTCCATGCATGCAGAGCTGGTAGTAAGACTGAGTCTTACAGTCCCAGTCAGTCCGTGGTTCTCCCCAGCTGATTACTGATTATGACAATGCAGAGAAGGGAGGGAAAATAGCTTTGTTCTCTTAGAAAGATAAACGTTTATGCTACAAGCTTAAAATGCCAACCTCTTACGGCTTTAAATGCTTACTGGAAGTTTTAAGTGAGTCATTTTGTAACAAATACAAGTGTGTAATAACATTCCAGTTAGTTTCTGGATATATTCTGGGTGTATGCAAACTTGGAAAGTATTTGCTGTACTTTTAAAATCTATCTGAAAAGTCGAGCATTGTTGTCAATTTTTGTATAGTGGCATCTAAGGTTCTGTATACCCTTACTGATAATAATAAGGAATCCCACTGAACTGGATGACATTGTTGCAACCCTAATCGATTACTTTAGGGACTCTATTTTTCTGTTTATGGAGAAACGTGGACGTGGAAAGTATGGATGTTGTTTGCCTTGGGAGCAGCGTCAAGCTGATATGTGCAGAACCACTGTTCTGCCTCCATCTGCACACAAATCTCCAGGTTTTGAGACCTAGCCTTCATGCAAGGCTGCAGTGCCATTAAACAATGGTGCAGCAGATGCTCGGTGTGTTTGTGAGAGAGGGGGAGGGGAGCACAGCACAGATTGATGGGCCATCTGCAAATATTTTTCCTAAAGAATCTGTAAGGCTAGAGAATCTCAACTGAAAATAGATGTCATTAGAGATCCCAACCTTTCTCTGACCCTGCTTCTGTCTGCGTGGGGCAGAAATAGCCACGCGTTCTGTACAAGGGATTAATTATTGTGTTCTGCAGTAAAAGCTGAGGTTGTACAGGGAGAAAGAGAGGCCAGGACGCTCTCACTCCTGTACTCCCTCAGCAAAACAGGCTGCCTTGTAAGGCCTGGGTTGCAAAGCAAAGGGTGGCAATCTTCTCAGGTTCTTAAACTGTTGATGCTATGCCCTGGGACCCGCTCGTGCCATAGAGTAGTGGTCATCATAGAATAGCAGTGTTCATACCTTAAGCTGCTAGGCTTAGGGGTACGGCTGAACTCTTGTGTTTGCTTTATCACTTGACAGCAGGCTGGAGATTGAGGGGCTTGTACTGCCAAATATATACAATACTAGCTGCAGCCTAATTCATGTCATTCCTCCTGCCAGGGCTATGAGTAATGTGAACCGTCAACCACATCAGAAATACTAGAAGAAAAATTTCTTCTTGGCTTACTGTCTGGTTTGTGGCAGTAAATTTGGGCATTGATTTAATTTGAAGTGAAATATCATCTTTATTTTGATGAAGGGATGCAAAATTTGGGATGCAGGCAGAGGATACAGAAATTTTTTGGAACTAATGCCAGTGGAACCTTACCTTTCAGATTTTTACCACCTTCAACCTACGTTTCTGCCTCTATTTGGGGAAGAAATAATGTATGGGATATTTCAAAAAGTGTGGTCATAGCTTGTCATTAAAACTTTAGAGTGTCTTCAGTAGAGCAAATCTTTCCTCATCTTTAATTCTTATCTTTCCTCTTTCCTTTCTTACTCTCTCAACCCTCCATCCCCTGAATCTAGTAATAATGATGGTAGGTCTTAGTCCACTTTGTGTTGAGTAATGACCAAAGTACTGGATCAAAGGCAGCTTAAAATCTTCATCAAAAGGTTCAAAGTCAGGATTTTGTTGCAAAGTGCTGTTGTCTTGTCCAGCATGCTGTTATCAGTCTTCAGGTTGCTATATTTCCATGTTGAAGTTTTAGTCAGATTCCAGAAAATATTTGCAGTTCCAAAGGGGCAGTTGTAATTGCTTGATATAAAGGCAGCAGCAACCTTCAAAGGTGTGCAAAAGCAAGCTTTTCTATCAGGATCAATATATGGACGGATTACCTCTGTGTAAGGCTTACATTGGAGCATAGAATGTAAATGATAGTGTTATTTAGCAAGCTTTCTTCAAGGGGGCTTCTCCCATTCACAAACTTAGTCAAAGCAAAGAAGAAAAACCACTGCCTCTTTTTGGAAAAAGAGAACCGTGTTCTTTTTAGATGTGTTCGTGATCTTCTAACCCTCAATATTTTTCTGTGCAGTTTTTTTATTTCTGTTAATACTGAAAGATATGGGTAGCTCCAGCAAGACGCAGACCAAATAATACAAGTAGTCATATCCTGGAAAAGGTAACTCAGAAGGACAAGGTCTCAGGAGTTTCTTGGTAAAGCTACCTTAAGACCATGATGTCTGAATATAATACCACAGGACTGTAAGCAGAAATTTATATCCAGGTCATGTGGTCACCATGCCAAAGCAGTTGAAGGGCTGATGAGATGATTATGTGTTGGTGGTTCAGAATAATCTCATTCAAAAAATGCAAGACTCTGCCAGGTGCTAGGCACGTTTACTTGAGTGCAATAGTAACTAGTATAATATGGCTGAGTCAGTTCCAGTTTTCACCTCCAAAGTTACAAGATATTCTGTTATTCTTTCCTCTGGATCTGATGGTTTGTCAGAGCTGTCCTATGAAGACTTTCTTTAGGGGATCTCTGCTGTGAAATGGGTCTAACCTTCGCTAACTCCTGTGTGTTGTATATAATGTTTTATAAAGTAAAATATAGCAAAAATAATATTTTGACTTTTATGCCAAAGCAACTAGATAATTATGTAATTTTTAAAGCTTTCAATGTGTACTGAATGACCTTTTTCTTCCCTTTCTGCACTACGCAAAATTTTGACTTTAAATTTGGATTTATGGTGGAGGATTTCAGGAATATGTTGACTTCTTAGGAGGATAATTGTAAACTCGGAAACTAAGAAGAAAAAACTGTGTTTGGAAATTAGGTTGGGGCTGTTACATGTGATCCACTGAAGGTGAGAGGAGGATTTACTGAAGCTAAAAAGTAAAGGTTAATGATACAAGAGTTAACCATTTGGTTATTCTTTGGGCCCTACTTTTGATTATGAACAGTATGGGAGCTGAGAGTCTATTAAAAAGGTATAAATAAGTTAATATACTTTTGGTATAATATTGGCACACTGCCTTTTATTTTGTATTCAAACACTTTCTGTTTGGGTCCTTCTTTAGCTTGTTAGACTAAGGGGTTGGAAACACAGGGGTGCATGGTGAGGGAACAAGTTAATATTTGATACTATCCAGGAATTCCTAGTCACAGCCTTCATTAGTTTAGCTTTCCTATCTTGAGACTGAAGATGATCATGGAAGACCAAGTCATGGTCTGAAACCTCTTTTAACAAAATTATAGGCAGAGATGTTAAAATCTTGCCAGCAGCTATACCGAATTACTTTATTTATACGGTTTGTCTCTGTTTTGCTAATATGACTAGCTAGGTGGGCTTTTAAAATTATTTTTCTTAAGTTGGAGCTGGTCTGGGTGACTCAACTTGAGACTTTAACTTGGATAGCATCATGCAAGGCAGACAGTGTATATCATCGTGCTTATCTGTAGGTCCAGTAGACGTGTTGCTGTTTCAAAGTTTAAATCTTCTTTTCTATCCCTTTATTTGTTTCTAACTGTGTTGATAATATAATTATTGTAAACTGTTTTTCTCCAGAAATTTGCAAATTAAGTACTGTTTCTTTTACACTTCATTTATATGAATTAATGTATTTATTATTAGTCATCTGAATGTTGCATTTCTTTGGACTTCGATTTCACGGTTAGTGGGGGGAAAGTAGAAATTGGAGCAAATTTCATATTCAACAGCCTTGCAAAGTCCAGTTCACTACCTCTTGTGTGTGCTTTTCATAGGGTAAAAAATAGCAAGTGTAATATTGATTTATTTTGTTTTGTCACAGACTCTACCCTTAAGCATTTTGTAAATGCCAGAAGGACTGACAAGGATGATGAAATGCATAGATGTAAATCTCCTAGTTCATCCACATAACTTCTTCACCTTCCCTTACTGATGAAATAGGATGACGGTTGAATTCTTCCTGATAAAGAAATAGGACTTTTGATTACAAATTACCACCCAAGGAGAATTTAGTTCTGTTGTTTAATAGTAAAATGCAACATTGTTTAAAGAAAATCTCAGTAGTTTAACTCTGTTCATGAAGTCTGTCCATAAGTATACCACACTATTTAAAGTATATTGTCTGTGGCAAAAACTCTTAAGAGTCAATTTTGTTTTGGTAACACACCAGACCTGGGTGGTTATTCACCTAGGAAGAGGTGTAAGAAAACAGTTACTGTTGTGTTAAAACTAAATAAATATTTCCGATGAGGAAAAAAAAATCTGGTTCTCTGTAGCTGATGGCTGTAAAAGGGAAGCATGCTTTGGGGAGGAAGCCATGTAACTCAATAAGCATTTATTTTAAAGTGTAGATGCATTGCCTTATGATTCCTGTTATTTTCAGAACATTGGTGAGGGTGTTTTTTCTAAATTGATATTTCAGAAAAATATTCTGGCTATTCTTTATTCTTTTTGAGATACGATCCGTAGCTTTATGGCTACTATTTTTATTTTATTTAATTCTGTCTCTTGTACTCCTTCATCATCTTTTTCTCCTTTTTTCTGCCTTCCTGTTGCCATCATGAGTACTGAGAGTGTTAAGGAGATGATTTGCTGAGGGATAGGGATATGTCTTTACTTGTCTTCCTCTTTTTTTTCCCCTTCCCTTCTCATCTCCCATCTCCCCACTAAGAAATCCAGCATCCCTGATCCCTTTTCCTGTTGCTTGCAGGAACTGTCTTTGATGCGAATGTAACTCTAGTGGCAGAAAAGTTGGCAGAAGTGAACAGGTCCTCTTTGGTACCAGTGGAAGTTAAAGCCTGTACTAAATATGGCTGGGTATTTAAGGTCCATTGTGTATACATATAAATATATTAAACTTGTGCAGTGTAAGACTGATGTTTTGTGATTGTAGTTAACTTTTAAATTATTTTTTTTAGGGAGAAGAAAGCCATAATTGATCCTTCTTTGTTCAAATACAAAGTCCAACCTATTAAAAAAGAACTATATGAAACTGTTATCGTTAAAGCATCTCAACTAAGGTAAAAATTAGTATATGAAAGTTAAAATTGTACTTTATAACTGTGTGAGTTATGTAGGTCACTGTAAGATGTTTTTGAAATAAAATGGCATTTAAAAATGATATGTTAGAACTGTTAATTAGAGGCACTGGAACAAAATACTGTGTTTCACAGGCTTTCTGTAGCAAGGGTTCCAAGCTTTACTAACAGAGATACCAACTCCTTACAAGTCTCTGTGGTTTTGTTGGTGCACAGATGAGACCTGCTGTTGCTTCTGATACCTGTGCCTACTGCTGTGACTAACTGAGTAGGTGAAAAAAAGTTTGAGAACCCTATTCTATAATATTGATGAACTGCTGGCATTGTGAGCTCTGTCTGTGTGGTTGCACTGCTGGTTTGAAATGCTGGAGCAGACATTGACAATCAGACTGCTTTTCTGCTTTAAAATAGAAAGCTGCAAGGAGTTTTTGCTTCTCAAATAAAATAACTAAATTCAATAAAAAATTATGTTAAACTTTTTTTTTTAGAGTAGATTCTGTATCAAAACTTTATAAACTGGATACTTTAAAGAAAAACTTCAGTGATTTCAAGTAATTTAGTTCCAGCATGAATCAAGATTAGGTTTTGCCTTCACTACTCCTGTGTAGTTGGTTTTCTCCTTCCTCTAAAGTAGTGCAGGTTCCCTGGGGTGCTGGGAAGCTTTTAGATCTTATGCTGTCCTGCAGCAAGGAGTGCTGCAGCCTGACCGAGCAGTGTGTGAATTCACCCTTCTCACTTGTTGGCTTGAGACTTCTGTGCCCTGCCTCCCTGTTTGAGAGAATGCTGCTTTCCTGCTTTCCTTGTTTGCTTGTTTTCACCCTCTTCTGAAACAATTGGACTTCAGTTTTATTTGGAGATTTTAAAAGCTACTGTAATAGAAAGAAATGTTTGAAGGATCTAGTGGGGATGAATAGGCTGTGGAGTTTGTCCGTATGTGCATTTAAAAGAGGGCATACATGGATCTTCAAAACAAAAATTACAGATGTATAAAACAACTGTTAAGTATTGGGTTTTGTTTTGTTCGTAAGGAAACTTTTAATTGGGATTACAAAGTATGGCTGTTAGTTACAATAATAAGGGTGTAATTTATAATGAAAATGAGAAAAAGCTTAATCATACGGTCTGTTACATGTTTTCTTGCACATATTGTCAGCTGTACTTAAACAGTAATTAAAGATACTAGTTGATAATGCTACCTTTCTTTCCCAATACAGCCGGAGGAAACATCTCTTTTCTCGTGATAGACTTAAACTTTTTCTGAAACAACACTGTGAACCACATGATGGAATCATTAAAACCAAGGTAAATAAGGAGGAGCAATTTGTGGGATAGAATATTGACCCTACATAGTCTTTTGTTTTTGCTCTTCTCTACTACCTGCTCAGAGACTCTTGTTTTAAACTACATCAAGTTTAGCTTTTTGTAAGTATAATATATTGAGTTAGTATTTGACTTTCTAAAATAAAAGGATGAATACTGCAACTTTTTCTGCAAAAACAGGTTTTGTTAACTTTTGCTTGTAAACAAGATGATAGTTTTTCTGTACATGAGGCAGAATTTAATTCTCTTATTTCTTCTCTAGCTACCAGTTTAGAAAAGTACCCAAAATAAAAATGGGAGCTTTTACCTAGAAAAATGTTATTTATTAAAACATAATACATTTTTGCTTAGTCTAATGTGAGTTGTTTTCATTCTTCAAGGTATGTAGCTGGTATTTCAAAGTCAAATTAAAAATTAACTGTTTCTGTTTTGGTACAGTAAGCTAATATTATTCAATTGTAATGTTTTTAGCTGGAAAATATTTTATTGTAGATTAAATTCAGTCTCCAGTTCTTCAGTGAGGAAGAAGTATTGAAGACTTCAGGTGGCTGGAATGGGCTTTTGATGAGGCTTTAGATGTTGAAGATGTCAGGATGCATATTTTTGTCATCTTATGTGGAGTTATATGATGCTGCTTAGTACAAGTTCAGACAGACGTTCGTATCATAGTGTACACAGGATGTCTCAGAGAATTTCGGTTTCCTTGTACTCAAGGAATTGAGCAGCTTTTCCCATACCTATGAAGCAGGCAGCAATTTCTCTTGCTTTGCTTGCTGTGCCACAGGAGATCCTGGACTCTTTCACTGCATATTGCAGCCTTGACCCCAAAATTCTCCTTGTCTTCATCTTCTTTTCGGAAAGTAGCATGTTTGTTTATTATGTCTTGTATTTTGTATGTGTGTTTAAGAGGAATCCTCATCCAGCTGTGTAACTGCTCCTTCTGCACAGGAAAGTGCTGATGAGACATCAGTGAGAGTATTGCCTCTGAAAGCTGTGGAAAATGACAAAGGCGCAACTAATGTCTAAATAAGTTTATAACTTTAAAGTCTGTCTCTTTAAAAGAAATGGAAATAGAAGAAAATAGAGCTGAAAGGGATAAACCACCCCCTTCCTTGAGTTTGGTAGCGATCATGTTGTCCTTGATGTGATACAGTGTGCTGGGTCTAGTGATCTACTGGTGATGCTTTCTGGTGCCTCAGGAACGTTGTTATATTCTGTATTACATGTGCGTCTATCTTCTTCTCTTTGGGCTTTTTGTGGAGCATCTCCTTGTTCCTTTGCTGATTGCCTTGCATTTCAGCAGTTACACGAACATGTCCTATTTGGAGTGTCTCCTTTGTATCCTCATCTGTATCACTCGATAAGGGCAGACTTCCTGAAGTCACCTTTAAGTATGATAGAGAATTATGTGATTCTTCAGTAAATTAGTTTTCTGGCTTTCTCTGTCAAAAGTAGTACTCAACACATTTCACTAGCTTGCTAGGAGGACTGTGTCCAGCTGTGTTTGCTGAAAGGCATCTAAAGAAATAAAATCGTAGTAAATGAGGCTAAATCTGTGCTGGTTACATTATTATCCACTTGGTGGATTAAATCTATGGTTATACTACTTCAGAGTTTTATTTCTAATCCTAAACTAATCAGTTGTGAATCTAGTTACTTTTATTGTCTTTTTTTTTGTGTGAATTTGTGATTCTTAATTAGCTTTTATTTATGAAAAGGTAAGAATTTAACATTTAGTATCCATTTTCATCTTTCTTATTAAGGCAACATCAATTGCAAAATATAATCTATCAGAACAAAATTTCTTCTACTTCTTTCCTGATGAGCCACCCACATTTATCTTCAGTCCTGCAAGCAGACGGCGAGGGAGACCTCCAAAAAGGGCATCTACTAGTCTTGTAAGTAATAACGTTTTTAATTCTAGGTGAAGACGTATCAGTATAGTCGTCAAGTTCTTCCATTTTCTCTGAACTTTCAGAACAGTTGGAATGCAAGATTGATGTGCTTTTTTTCTTTGAGGATGTATTGGAATGTATTACATAATTGCTATTAAAGTAGATTGCTTTATAGTTAAGTTGGTAAAAGGGACTATACTTGATATGTTTTCTTCTTATTTTTATCTTTCTTATTCTGTGGGGGGGAAAAAAAAAAAAAAGAAACTACCAAGAAACTAGCTTTTCAGTGTGTTGTGAAGGCGCATAGGCTACTTGTCCCTGCTGGGGATGATTAATAAATCATTTGCTAAAAAAACTTAAATTTGTGCTTTTGGATACAATTATGTCACTTGCCCTCAGGTACAGTTTTTAAACGCAGAGAAGCTTAGTGCTGTAAACAACTTTATTTAAAAAAAAAAAAAGGTTTGAGTTTTCTCCCTCCCCCCTCAAGTATTAGGCAGGACCTCTCAGTATGTTTGTGGGAAACGGTTATAGCCTGTTTTTATTCTTATTTTAGTGAACTGTAGAAAAATTGGGATTATCTGTTGCTGGTCATTTCACTGTAGACATTATGTTGTGGTTTTTTTTTTCACTCCCTCTCTGTATTCTCTATCAGGAGGACGAGATTCCTGCTAAACAAAATACCCAAGGAAACAAAAGTAAAGTAGCAAGGGAAAAGACAAGGTTCCAAAAGCAAAAAGAAGATATGCGGGCCATGAGTAAGTTGAGGTTTAATCCTATGACTAGTAGAACCAGTTTTTGCAGGTCTGAGAGCAGGCCATAATTAGAGTATTTTTAGGGTTGTACCTTTCAAAGGGAAAATGTAATAAGAGCACTATGGCTAAGTGCTCCTTTCAGTGGTTTAGAATGTTTGTTTCCTGATATATATATATAT